ATATTATACTCACGTTGCAGTGTAATCTGTTAAATCTATAGATAAAAAGTGTAATCTGCCGGTTGTCCTGCAGGAGACCTCATAAATCTGTCTTCTTACGATGCACTTGGGGATGTACGATTACTCCAGAGCACTCGTAGTTCTACGAAGATTTTCAAGTGCTACTTAAGTTACGATGCTTTTGGGAAACAGACCATAATATTAAGATCAGTCGTACGAGCGTTTTTACGATCAACTTAGGCTTACGATGCTTTTGGGAAACGCACCCCTGAGCGACGACTGATGACGTCACATGCTCAGATTTGCTTGACCAATCGGCGGAAGGGGGCGTCTCAGGACCGCCCACATGTAGAAAACGAATTTTAAAGTCATTTATTCGTTTTTGCCTGTGAACTAAAAAACGAAAAATCAAGCCGAAATCTCGTTTTTCGTTTTTTTGAAAAAACGAAAAAACAAATAAGGAATTATCCCATATTATACTTTCTCTGCCAACACCGACACCTTCCCACGCACGCAATTGGATGGTCCGTGTACGTTTTGATAGTTTGTTTTTTCGTTTGAACCACAAAACAAAATAACGAGAAACCACCTTTTTTTCGTTTATCGTTTCAAACCAAAAACAAAGAAACGGTAAAAAAAGAGCCGTTCTCCCGTTTTTGGTTCTGAATCCAAAAACGAAAAATGACAAAACCAAAATCAAATAACGGTCCGATTTTGTTTTTTTGAAATTCCTTTTTCCATTTTTCCGTTTGAAGATCTACATTAAAACAATAGACTGGTTGGCCACGTGACCCGGAAGTAATAGTAAATATGGCCTATCAAAATAAAAGCCAAGCTTTAAGAACGGTCATAATATGTAATATAAAACATGACAAGTGTGTAGCCTAAATAACTAAAATAATCCTATTTTTATTATTATTGGCTTCTGTAGATGGACATCAGACTTTTTTCAAGCTATTGTTATCCAATTGTTTGGCCTTCAAACACCTTTCATAATACACGGGTCAAGCGGGCCAAGTAGCCCAATAAAAAAAATTTCATTCAATCGAGGGTGGATGACAGATAAATCATTATAATCAAATGTGGTGAGTTTAATAAAGACATGGAACTCTCATCACGGTAAAACGCAATGAACGCGCGTCACACATTTACTTTCCTTTTCAACAACTGTCCTCAGGGAAAGCAATCAAAGAAAACGTATCAGTGCTTGAAATTATAACGCTTGTCCGGGACACGTGTGTGTTTTGTGTTTGTTTTAAGGGAAAAGTGATATAAAATATAATATAAAAAATAACCAGGGAATCACCGAAAACGCGAGGAAGATTCTGTTTTATTTCATTTAATGTAAGTCGCGATTAGTTGATAATAGCCCTACCTAATGAACGGATGGTAACAAAGTTGCGCTGTTGAGGCTCGCCCAGTTATTTATAACATATTAATTATAGTTAAGAAACAATATAGGGTAGGCATACTAAATAATGTCATTTGAGCCTATAGTGTCTTATTATTTTAATTGAATGTAGGCTACTATTGGTAAAATGTAAGAATTTTAAAAGAAATTTAGAGCATACATTTAATAAAATTAGGGGGGAAATGCCCTTTATAAAGGTACAAAAATTATTCCGATAAGAGTGTTTTCAAAAAGTGATGTAATGAAACATTAACAATTTAAGTTTGAAGGGAGTAAAGCCTCCGCTTATAGGAAATGTAATTTTGCCTAAAGAAGAACTTTTAATTTAAATAAATGTTAATTTTAAATCAGCCTACTTCAGTGTGAAATGTTAGCCTACATATCATGCTTAACACTGAGAATTTGAAAAATTGTAATAATGATGATCAGATGCAAATAGCCTCTAAATCAAAGAATGGGTGGTTGGCGGCTGGATTATTTATTTTTAACAACAGATTCGAGTGACTCAAAGTGCACCAGATTAATGAATTTATCTTTAAAATGTAAAAAAAATTCTCCCGTGGGGCATGCCCCCGGACCCCCCTATAGTGTTTTGGTTCCACAGTCGCCTTGCTTTTGGCTTGCTTAGTTGGGGATATTTAATATTTAATATTCAACAATATTATTGAACTGTGTTGTACTACTTTCATGTTATCACTGTGAAGCTGCTTTGATGCAATCTGTATTGTGAAAAGCGCTATATAAATAAATGTGACTTGACTTGACTTGACTTGTTAGGATTTTACCACCTCCGCCTCATTTTAAATTGGGGACCTATGCCCATTTGTACGTCGCTAACTCACTTAGCTGGGTTTGATTGTTGGCAATTTGTCATGATCTTGGATAGTTTGGTTCTTCGACGCTCTTCCTGGGCTTGCTCTCATAGCAGCAGGTGCGCAATCTTAAACCTGCTCGCGAGCTTGCTTATTTCATGTTAACAGGATTAGACTGCGGCTTCATAAACGGAGCTGACACGGGAAGTCCAGTGCAGCGCTAGTATACTTTCTGAGAGATTTTTTTTCTTCCTTATGACTCGTGAGGTTGTCGTTTACATTATTAATTTGTTGGAAACGCACTAATTTTAGACTCATCGGAGTCGGGCTTTAACAAAAGCACAAACTGTTTGCATAAATGTGATCCATAACTCATGGCAAAATATTTGTACATTAAGTTTTCACTTTCGCAGGTGAAAGCAATTCATTATTAATCAAGATTTAACAGTTAAAATGACTATACCAGCCATTTGGATTAGGCCTTAATTTAATACAGCAAAAAATATTTGACTGTAGGCTACTAAGATCGTTTATTTTCTTTATTATTTCTCATGCTTTTTCATGGTTGCTTTTATAAACAGAACATATTTAACAGTGCCTTTTTAAAAGAGACTAATAAGGCTAAGTATAGGCTAAAAATTGCCATTATGTAGAATATTTTTGTACTTCACTTTTATTTGTTCCCATGTTCTAGTGTGGTGACTGACATTAGCTACAATGAACAAATAATGCAATTATTAAAATACAAAAATATAAACTAATAAGTTCTAAAAACATCTAACATGGCCACTTCTAACGGATTTAAATTGTCTGCTACTTTTTGCCAGCCCTCTCCGGCTTTTGCAGACTTTAAGGTGTTTCCTGGCGTTTTGTATTAAACATTAAAATTCCGCATAAACTTCGACAGCTCTTGCTCTGATGCGGAGAAAAACTGCGCGCTCTCTGGCCACGCTGAACAGCCAATAGCAGCGTTGCTGATCAATTTCTACTATCGATACATATCCCTTTTTAAACCAGCGCATGAATATTGATTTTAAACTTCGTTGGATTATTAGAGGACTGAGAACCTTCACATATGTCGTTTTTGATTGTATTATTAACAAACTACTATCACTATTAGTCTATTACTAGCCTGTTCAATACATATATTAACACTGTATAACGTGAGCGAGGTAACAGCGTGTCCTTGGGCTTTTTGAAAATAGATATGATGCGTTAGGATAAAATTATATTTGAGGACCAACACAAGTTTTATGAGGGTGTCAATCGAATGGCAAAGACGAGATAGGGACTGATATTTTGATGGCGGAACAGCGGAATCCCAATCTCCCTCATTATTAGGCCTACGCATGACGTCACGTGGGAATTCACGTTGACAAGTATTCATTCAATCGCTGTCAGTTCGCTGTCCATTACGGTGGAAACAACAAATATACATTTAATTATGTAATATAGCGCTAACAGTAACTCTGCTCACACAAAAAGTTCTTAGGTTAACCTATATACCAACTGTATTGAGCCAAACAATGCGCTCATTAAACGTGACTGGTGATGTCTGGATAGGCACGATATTAAATAGCTGTAATAAACTATAATACTAATACTGTTGCTAACATATTTATTCTGGTCCAGGTTTATAAGCCTATTTATTAATTGATTTTTCTTCTTCTTCTAACGTTACTCTGGTATAAGGTTAGTGCTGCATATTATGACCGTTCTAAAAGCTTGGCTTTTATTTTGATAGGCCATATTTACTATTACTTCCGGGTCACGTGGCCAACCTGTCTATGTTTTAATGTAGATCTTCAAACGGAAAAATGGAAAAAGGAATTTCAAAAAAACAAAATCGGACCGTTATTTGATTTTGGTTTTGTCATTTTTCGTTTTTGGATTTAGAACCAAAAACGGGAGAACGGCTCTTTTTTTACCGTTTCTTTGTTTTTGGTTTGAAACGATAAACGAAAAAAAAGTGGTTTCTCGTTATTTTGTTTTGTGGTTCAAACGAAAAAACAAACTATCAAAACGTACACGGACCTTGGATGAAGGCAACAAATACGTCACGCATGTCGGACCCCACACGTAGCTGCCTGCTCTATTCGCCGGGAAAATAACCCGGAGAAAGTTACCGATATTATAGTAATGTGCAAAGTATGTGAGTGGAAACAATTTTTATTTGCTTTGTTGAAAAGCGTAGCGGTTACATATAAAAAACTGGGTTATCCATCACCACAGATCGTCTGAAAACACGAAATCTCCCCTCGGCCCACCGTCTATTTCTGCTTTTCGTTTCAAATTGGAAAACAAACTATCAAAACGTACATGGACCCAAATAGTAACACATTACACATATTTCTTATTTGGAGTATGTTTATTTATATCTTTTAAATCACCTTGAAACAAAGAAAACACATAGATTATTATAGAGAGGGAAACTAAATCAGCGAGATTCATAGAGAGAGCTGAGGAAAAGCTTTTTAACCCAGACATCATAATCTTTAGGAGTAACTGTCATTTTATATTGAGTGAGTCAGCGAGAAATAAAGATTATGATCAACATAAGTCAATCATGGTTACAAATTTGTTTTAAAAAATCATTACAAAACCTTGAAAAAAATAGCTTATTTCCATAAAACATTTCTTTGGAAAGAAGCATCTGTTTGCCTGGATCTGATGAAAATTATTTTTTGAATGAAATGTGTAACTAATGATAACTATTTTAACATCCACACCAAACGGACGATAAAGTTATGTTTAAGCGCACATTGTGGTTATATGTTGTCTGCCATTTTAAGTGCTTAAGCTTTTTAAAGTCGGATAGATCCTTATTGGCTGTCAATGTTTTTATAGTTCATCATGTGATGCATACAGGTAGTTCTCGGGTATGATGGGGTCTCCGTACATGCAGTCCTCCTCGATGGCGAGGTTGTTCTGGCTCCCAGTGCCGCCCTTGTATGCACTGGTGACAATTCTGAGCCAACCTTTCTCTCCCTAAATGACAAAAGAGTAGGACATTCATTCAACATCTAACTTGTGTGTAGGGATTCACCAGCATAACTTTTAAGGTTTTGCTTACCCATGGCTCTCCCCAAGAATTACGGACGACCCAGTACTCCACTCCAGTCTCATCGACGCCCCAACCAGCAACAGATACGATGTGGTTTATACTGGGATTCTCTACATACTCCGAATACAAGCCACCAGTATACGCATCAAGCTTGTTTGTTGCCATGATCCCACAACTACAAAGGCAAAGTGTCAAAAATATCTTAAAGTTGGTTCAAATATTTAACCTAATCGTACAAATCCAGTCTGTATACCTGATGGGCCCTCCAGAATAGATCTCAGCTTTCATCTGTTCCAGCCCACTGAAGTTGCCTAGTCTCCAACTTTCCAGACAGTGTACTTATTTATATCATTGCACACGCCAAAGGTTGTGCAGGTTCCACACTGATTAAAGGGGGTACAATCTAAAAAAAAGAAAAGACAAAAACAGAAACAGGAACAGAAATGCACATTAAATTATAACTGCAAGCACTGACTGCATATCTAATTAAGCAAGATGCTCAACCAGAACAGTTTTTTACCCTGATCCTTGGCCTGGTAGTTGTTGCAGGTTTCATCAGGAATGCCTTTAGTGTTTGCATATTCCCAAACGCCAGAATGATCTCCACCATGGCAGGAACCCGCATCGCCACAGTCAATCACATTCTGGACAGAGAGATAGGCAGATGGCCATGCCGATTTTCGCTTGATGTTGATACGATCTAAAAAATGTAAAAAAAAAAAAAAAAAAATCAAGTCACATAGGCTGACAAAAACGGCAATTTTAGAATTTTATTTTTCAATAATTCATCAATACATTTTCTCTCACCTGCAAACGCACTAGTACTTCCATGTGCCCAGCATGAGCCGCAGTACTGGGGTATGTGTTGGTTGCGTGTGGTGCTGGCGTAGTTGACGCCGTTTATGTTTCTCCAGTCCCATTCTTTGGGGATGTCTTTTAAATCCATAAATTCATAAGGACGTGGTCCAGTCCTGAAGAATTCAAGAAAAAGTTGTTCAACCATCTACATACATTATATACTCTATCTATACACTGAAAGGACATTCACAGCAAGCAAGGATAATCCAGTAAAAAAAAAAAAAAAAAACTCCTCATTTAACAACCAAATGAGAAATGAACCTTGAGGGGAATGGCATTACATTTATAATTATAAAAGAAACCGGTGTCAAACGGTCATCCCACCATGATGCCATACCTTTTCACCTTTTAATTTCATGTGCCGAATTGCCATGACGTGAGCAGACTGTACACTGGGTGACAACTGAGCCGATAACTTAACAAATATGTCCAAATAATGGTAAAACTGATTCATGCATTTAGCTGGTGTAGAAAGTGCTCCCCTTGGGCACATGGACTCTCCCAGTCACCCCTGTCATTCAGCGAGAAATGGACTGTTCCAAACTTTCCACCGGAGTTCGCGAAGTGAAGGGGAAGAGAGTAGACGGATAATAAAGGGAAATGGAGATCGGCTGAATACTGTATATAGTTTGTAGAGTGAAATAGTGCATTAGCCCAAATCGAAGGAGATTTATCGATTGTGCGTGTGCGTGCATCACACTGTAAGTAATCACATAATTGTTGAACGTTCTCAGCGCATGCTAATCCGCCTGTAGCTGTGTTTACATTTAAGGTTGTTTACTTAATTATATTCTACTGCTGTGACATTACTGCCATTCCATGTATATTGATGTTATACGTATTCTAGTTATATTTATTCCTTATCACCAATGCACGGTTGTATCTCAGGTCGCGCGTATGCGCTCAGTTGTTTACATCTCGGTTCGACCGCACATGTAGCAGTAGCCATGCTCGCATGCACAGCTCATGCACAGCTCGTGCACAGCTCGTGTACAGCGTTAGCGCACACACATCCATTCCCACTTTTTCAAGTAGATCATCATAGAGATTGTATTGTGTTATATTTCACCGCTATTCGTCAGTATTTTACCAAATAAGTTGTTTGTGATTTATATACATTTATATATATTTATATCTTTATTTTGTATTCACAGAACCACACATCTATGCACATTTAATAAACCTACGATTTGGAATATAACCTGAGTGAGACATCATTGTTCTGACCGGACAAACTGCAGCCTTCAGCCAAACCTGAACTAGCAATTAGAGTGAATACTCACAAGATTTTTCATGGTCCTTCGAGCCGGATTGGTGAATTGCTACAGAGATGTCTCAACCCGAGAGAGAAGCGCCTGTCGTGCGTCCACGAAGACAGATCAACCCACCGACTCATTTAGTGGATTATGAGCTTGGTGAGCCATTGCCACATCGACAGCCATTCCCAGACTTCAGCCATAGCAGATTCCAGTCACCAAGTATGGTAGCACAGACCCGATCGTCTTCTCCCGTCAGTCAAGAGTTAGATCAGGATAAGTGGACACTGAGAGATGAATGGCAAAGTGAAAGATCCGATGGGCGAGGAGAAGAGGAAGTAGAGCTTACAGCCATGCTGAAGGTGATGAAACGCGAGAACGCTGACTTGCGGCTACAAACCAGCCAGCTTCCGGAGATTATTTCAGCATTACAGGAGATGCGACAACAGAATGCCATGTTACATCACGAACTTCAAAGTCTTAAGGCAGACAGGGGAGCCCCCTCCAGGCCAGTGACTTTACCAGTGCTATCTCCAGGTCCCTTTCCTCCTGTGGTGAGCCCTGAGACTCCACAACGGTTCCGTCCTACTCCAGCCCCACGGAAAACCCCCCCAACGCCGCCTACGGCCATTAGGGAGCTGTGCCCAGCTACAGTAGATGAGCACCTTGGATTAGCTGAGGATTTCAGAAACATGGACATTTCCTCCTCAATACCTGATAGAGTACCATCACAAGTGCGTTACAGCGACCCACCTCAACCCAGGTACGCTCGTTCCTCCCAACACATTCCAGCTTATCAGTCAGAGTTCAAGACCACAGCATATAACAGTATACCACCTCCGCATCCAGGCCACAGACAAGAGTTTTATCAGCCTTCATCAATGCAGGAGAAAATGTACCGAGGCCCTGCTCCAACCATTCCCTTCCTAACATCCCCTGATTCTAGGGAGTTCTCTCGACTGAGAATAGCATTGGAGAACATTTTGCCTGAGGATGCAACAGAGCGATTCAAATATCAGATCCTCACTGACCATCTTAAGTTGGAGGAAGCCCTACTTGTGGCAGACTCATACAGTAACTCAAACTTTCCTTTCACAAACACCATGAGAGCCCTCAATAAAATGTATGGCCAGCCACATCAGCTAGCCTTACAACGCATTGCAGAACTGATGGATGGACCAAACATTCGAAGTGGAGATGTGAAAACGTTTCGCATGTTCGGACTCCAAGTGCGTTCCCTGGTCAGTATGTTGGAACAGCTGGGTCAGAAAGGCAATGTCGAGTTGGAGTGTGGATCACATGTGTCCAGACTGATGAGCAAACTGCCACATGATCTCAGGTCCAGTTTCAAGAGGTACACTCATCCTCTTCATGTCACTATCCCCACATTATTGGACTTTGCGGACTGGCTTGAGTACGAGTTACAAGTTCAGGATGACCACACTGACTATACCAGTCAGTCTAGAGTTTCGACAGTGCCGAGGAGGGAGGTGAGGAGAGACTCTAGACAGCCCCGCAAACCCACTACCATCCTCCTTGGTACAGAGAAACCAAAGGCCAGCCCAGCATCACCAGTTTATCCACCCAAACCAATTGCTGCTAAGAGAGAGGGGGTGAATGTTTACTGTCCATACTGCGACAACAACAGACATTTCCTGAGCAGCTGTGAGAACTTTAAGTTACTCAACAAAGAGCAGAAGGTGAATTGGATTAAAGGCCAAAATAGATGCTGGCGCTGTGGGCGTGGTCATCATGCTGCCAATTGCACACTGAAAGCCCTCTGTCCATCTTGTAACAGAAAGCACTTGCTGGCCTTACATGATGTAAATGACCAGAGCAGAGCCACAGAAGAATCGGTTCCAGCCAGTGCAGTCTTGTATGTGGATCGTCCAACCTGTGACAATAAAATTCTGCTGAAGGTGGCTAAAGTTCTGCTCCGAAACGGCAACAAATCCATGGAGGCATATGCAATCCTCGATGATGGGTCAGAGCGGACCATCATCCTACATGAAGCTGTGCAGAAGTTGAATCTGAAGGGTCAGCCAGAGGACTTAGTTCTCCGTACAGTCAGGCAAGATACACAGACCCTTCACGGGGCGGCTGTGACCTTTACTGTGTCTTCAGTGGCTAATCCTCGTAAGGCTTTCATGATACGGAGCGCATTCACAGCCAACAGCCTGGGTTTAGCAGAGCACACGCATCCCGTCAAGGTACTCCAGAAGAAGTACAAGCATCTTGCAGGCCTGCCACTACAGCACCTTCACAAAGTGAAACCAGTAGTTCTCATTGGTTCTGACTGCCCTCACCTCATCACACCCATAGAACCAGTCAGACTGGGTCCACCTGGTGGCCCTGCTGCTGTGAGAACACGCCTAGGATGGACACTACAGGGACCAGCACAAGAACTAACCAGCAGACTTTCCCCACAGCAATGTCTTTTCACCAGCTTACGGCCCACTAACGACCTTTATGCGAATGTGGAGAAACTGTGGAAAATGGACATTCTTCCATATCAAAATGAGAAGGTACTGACAAGGTCTAGACAAGACAAAGAGTCCATCCAACTTCTCCAGGACAAAACCGTGAGGGTGGATGTTAACAGAATCCAGCGCTATGCGACCCCTCTTCTACGTGCCAAAGATATGCCATGTCTACATGCACCCAAAGAAGCTGTCCTGCCACAATTAAGGGGAATAGAGAATCGGCTGAACAAGAATCCTGATCAAGCGGCGGCCTACCAAGAGGAGATAGTCAGGTTACAGCAAGCTGGCTACATTACAAAACTCACTCCTGAGCAGGTGGACTGTTCCAAAGAGAGCTGGTACATTCCACATCATTTGGTGGAGCATAATGGAAAGAAAAGGGTTGTCTTCAACTGTTCGTTTGCTTACCAAGGCCACAACCTGAACGAGTACTTGCTCCCTGGTCCACCACTCAGTCCTTCTCTTCTGTCAGTTCTTCTGCGATTCAGAGAACATTCCATCGCCATTAGTAGTGACATTCGTGGGATGTTCCACCAGGTGCGCCTTTTGCCTGAGGACAAACCACTACTGAGATTTATTTGGAGAAATCTTCAGAGAGACAAGGCACCAGACGTGTATGAATGGCAAGTACTTCCATTCGGAACAACGTGCAGTCCTTGCTGCGCAACATACGCGTTACAGAAGCACGTCCTGGATCACAGTGAGTCTGAAGACACACAGTTCTCAGTAGAGAAATCTTTCTATGTTGACAACTGCCTTCAGAGCTTCACCTCAAGTGAGACAGCGAAAGGTCTTGTAGACAGACTCCGCAGTCTCTTATCTTCCGGAGGCTTTGACCTAAGACAGTGGGCGAGCAATGATCCATCGGTCATCAGCCACCTGCCAGTTGAGGCTCGATCTCAAAGCAGCATCCAGTGGCTCAGCGAAGGTCACCAAGATGCACAAGAGTCAACTCTTGGGTTACACTGGCATTGCTCATCAGACACACTCTCCTATAAGCAGCGGCGGACAGACCACCCACTTCCAACTATGCGGAGCATATATCATATCCTCGCTAGCCAGTATGACCCCATAGGCTATATTGTGCCATTCACAACACGGGCCAAGGTGATCGTACAGAATTTATGGGACAAGAAAAGAGAGTGGGACGATCCCCGTCTGCCTGAGAATCTGTTGAACTTGTGGAAAGCATGGGAGAGTGAGCTGGATGGCTTACAGCACGTTGTTTTGCCGAGGGCTTACTGCAGTAAAGAACTGGATCAGCTTACCAGCATGAGGCAGATCCACATTTTCTGTGACGCCTCAGAGCGAGCCTACGGTTCCGTGGCCTACTTACGAACTGAAAACCTGGAAGGTAGAGTGGAAGTAGCCTTTGTAACCAGTAGATCTCGGGTAGCCCCAAAAAAGCAGCAAACCATTCCACGGTTGGAGTTATGTGCAGCACTCACAGGTGCACAACTCGCAAAAGTTCTGAAGACAGAGCTAACTTTGCCCATCCACAGTGTTACTCTGTGGTCTGACTCCACAACTGTCCTTACCTGGCTGCTGTCACACTCATGTCGTTTTAAAGTGTTCGTAGGCACCAGAGTGGCAGAAATCCAAGAACTCACGGAGTCTGATAACTGGAGATACGTGCCATCAAAGGAGAACCCTGCCGATGACATCACAAAGGGAAAACTGCTGTGTGACATAGGCCAGGAAAGCAGATGGAATAAGGGGCCAAAATTCCTCAGACAGACAACTGACCACTGGCCGGAGATGCCACCATTTACGACCATTGATCAGGACAGTGAACTGAGAAAGCCAATCTTCATTGGCCTATCAATCTCGACTCCACCTACTCCCGATCCACAGAAATACCATACACTTCCAGAGTTACTGAAGGCTTACATCCAGCATGCCAACAGGGCGGCCACCGATATCCCAACAGCAGATGACTACAAAGAGGCAGAAATTGCAGTACTCCATCAGAGCCAAACTGACTCATTTCCAGACGAACTGTCCTTCCTCAGAGCAGGTAAATCCTTGCCAAAAAATAGTCGCTTGCTGTGCTTAGCCCCGGAATTTGATGAGGACACCAAACTCATGCGCGTTGGCGGTCGTCTCCGTCAGATCAGCCAGCTAGAGGAAGATACAATACATCCTATTGTCCTCGACTCGTCTCATCCAACTACCAAACTGGTAATCAAGGACTATGATGATCGGCTACATCACCCAGGACCAGATAGGGTGTTTGCTGAACTTCGGAGGAAATACTGGGTGATACGGGGACGGGCTGCAGTCAGAAACCATCAACGACAATGTGCAGAGTGTCAGAGATGGCGGGGTCAACCACATCCACCAAGAATGGCGGACCTCCCACCTGCCAGATTGAGGATCCATCAACCTGTCTTCTATTCAACAGGTGTGGACTGCTTTGGACCTTACACTATAAAGGTGGGACGCAGGAATGAGAAAAGATGGGGAATCATCTTCAAATGCATGACTTCCCGTGCAGTCCACATTGACATACTCACCAGCATTGACACAGATTCCTTCTTGATGGCTTTACGACGATTCATCTCCAGGCGTGGTAAACCATTTGAGCTCCTGTCTGACCAAGGCACCAACTTTAAAGGAGGAGAAAGGGAACTGAAAGAGTCATTCATCGCCCTTCACCCTGAGCTTCAAGCCCAACTCGCCAGCCAACAAATAAGATTCATCTTTAATCCACCCAGTTCACCCCATTTCGGTGGATGTTGGGAGAGAGAAATTCGTTCTTTAAAGGCTGCACTTCACGTCACCATTGGCAGCCAGACAGTCACAGAAGAAGTGCTGAGAACTGTCTTCATAGAAATAGAAGGAATCCTCAACTCCAAACCCATTGGCTACACTTCTTCGGACATCGCGGATCCAGATCCAGTTACTCCAAACATCTTGTTGATGGGGCGGCGAGATGCCTCATTACCGCAAGTGGTATACCAAAACTCTGAACTCCTGAGCCGTAAGAGATGGAGACATAGCCAGCTCTTGGCTGACCACTTTTGGAGGCACTTTATTCAGCACTACCTACCCAACCTCCAAATCAGACAGAAATGGAGGACTGAAGAAGCTGACCTGCAAGTCGGTGACACAGTCATGATCGTGGACCAACAACTGCCCCGCGCTCTTTGGCCCGTAGGGATAATTGTTCAGGTCTTTCCTGGGTTGGACAAGAGAGTCAGATCTGCGGAAATACAGGTTAACGGCAAAACTTACACCCGACCTGTAGCCAAAATTATTTGTCTGCCCTCTCTTCCCGACTAGCTTTAGATTTAATGTAGCAAAGTCACTTAAAGTTGGCAAATTCACACTGTGAATTTGGGGGCGGCTGTAGAAAGTGCTCCCCTTGGGCACATGGACTCTCCCAGTCACCCCTGTCATTCAGCGAGAAATGGACTGTTCCAAACTTTCCACCGGAGTTCGCGAAGTGAAGGGGAAGAGAGTAGACGGATAATAAAGGGAAATGGAGATCGGCTGAATACTGTATATAGTTTGTAGAGTGAAATAGTGCATTAGCCCAAATCGAAGGAGATTTATCGATTGTGCGTGTGCGTGCATCACACTGTAAGTAATCACATAATTGTTGAACGTTCTCAGCGCATGCTAATCCGCCTGTAGCTGTGTTTACATTTAAGGTTGTTTACTTAATTATATTCTACTGCTGTGACATTACTGCCATTCCATGTATATTGATGTTATACGTATTCTAGTTATATTTATTCCTTATCACCAATGCACGGTTGTATCTCAGGTCGCGCGTATGCGCTCAGTTGTTTACATCTCGGTTCGACCGCACATGTAGCAGTAGCCATGCTCGCATGCACAGCTCATGCACAGCTCGTGCACAGCTCGTGTACAGCGTTAGCGCACACACATCCATTCCCACTTTTTCAAGTAGATCATCATAGAGATTGTATTGTGTTATATTTCACCGCTATTCGTCAGTATTTTACCAAATAAGTTGTTTGTGATTTATATACATTTATATATATTTATATCTTTATTTTGTATTCACAGAACCACACATCTATGCACATTTAATAAACCTACGATTTGGAATATAACCTGAGTGAGACATCATTGTTCTGACCGGACAAACTGCAGCCTTCAGCCAAACCTGAACTAGCAATTAGAGTGAATACTCACAAGATTTTTCAGCTGGAAAATGATTAGAAAAATGATGGTCTGTCATACTTCACTCCTTGTAGGTGTCTCCTCGGGTGGGGTTTGAAGCAGGGCTCATTCTCATTAAAATACCGTCCGGCGAAAACACCAGACAGAGTTAACAGATAAAGGAGCAGCCCCAGACAGCATTTACATCTGTGCCAGGTCCGTTTTCGAATCAGTAGATTCGCGCAGCAGTCGCACTCAATATGCAGATCTGCACCAACTCTGCGCCAGACTTGTCTGTAGCTTCGACTGTGACAGTCCGTCCGGCGGGTGCGGCGCCGATCCGGGACAGCTGCGCAGACCATACGCGCCACAACTGAATTGAGTCCGCCCGGCGGGTGTGGACCGGATCCGCGCGAGCTGCGCAGACCAGACGCGCGGGCGCCACTCCGCATAAACCCGCTGACAAGAGTGAAGACTGCAGCCTGCACCGTCTTTGCTAATTGGTAAGTGCATTATACAAGTATAATTTAGTAAGTACATTATAAAAGTAAACTGGTGCTGATTTCATGTTAGTCTGTTACACAATTATATTAAAAATAAAAGTTTAAAAACGAAACACTGACATTCTGACAACCTGACGTGTCAGATAAGCTGGGTAGTATAGCAGGCGGTTAGCTGGTAGTATAGGTTCTTTTAAACATCCACAACTAATGTGAACATAGGCTTTAAAGCTGAATCTGTAATATTTGCTTACTATTCACCAAAATTGCTGAATATCGTCTCTATTGTGTGTTAGCTGCAAAATCGTATAACGTTAGCCATAGCGCTACCCACTAACGTTACCAGCGGCGACCGCTGCTAGCTACTGCAGTCTGCATGCAACAATAACAAATTAATGACTTCCCACGTCCAAATACATTAAACTAGTTCGACGTCAGTACCATATCAATTCTCACTGTATTATACCGGCTGTAGAGTGCGACATATATGATATGTCGATACGTTAGCTATCAAACTACCTGCAAATTACTGTTGCTTACCTCCAGTTCGTGTTACAAAATTTTTCAACATTCAACTTTAGATTTTAATTTTACAGGTTTTCACATTGGAGCTGTGAGTGTAAATGTTCACGTACAAGTAATATTTATTGTACAAGTTCTCAAATTCACATCTACGTGCTCTCGAGTTTTTATATTTTTATTCTCTCTTACCTTAATACTACTCACTCCACACCACTTTAGTCACATTTATTATTATTTATTTGTGCAAGCATTTTACTATAATGTCATGTAATAAAGAATCTTTGAATATTGAATCTAATATTTACTCTTTGTTTCTTTGCTTTGTGTGCTTTTTGTATGTCTTACAGGAGCAGTGAGGAAGAATCGCATGTCTTTAACTTATGAGCAATAAATGAGTTTAAAATAAAAAAGTTTTTTGAAAAGTACAAATTGTCTGGGTGTTTGTGCCTTAATTGTCTGATAGCCTAAATATGAATCACAGACCAGGGCCAGATGAGCCCCAGATGTAAAATATGAGTCACGGATCTGGGCCAGATCTGCACCACATGTCATGGCATTAATAACTGTACTGGGCCAGTGCTGGCCCAGATCTGTCTCTGATCCGTAATTCCAACCTGTTCCGGTATTGGGCCGTTGGAAAGAATGAGCCCGGCCCAGGTCCGTTTAGCGGATCTGCGCCAAATGCTAATGAAGACCTGGCCCAAATCTGGCCCAAATACATTTTGCTGTCTGGGGCGCGCGAGCCATGTTGAATCTCAGGCGTTATGATTATTGATCATCACACATGAATCTGCACTGCGGTTTTTATTATTTTTGTCTGACAGTAGGCGTGGAGGAAGCATCGAAACTAGCTCTCGTATTGGGCATCCCTTAAAGAAAAGTAGTCAAAGCCAAGGTTTATATTTTGTCAGACGCTTCTGAATACCATATTCTCTCTCTCTCTCTCTCTCTCTCTCTCTCTCTCTCTCTCTCTGTGTGTGTGCGCGCATGCGTTGAGTGAGTGAGGTGCGTGGATGGAGAGTGTGTGACGGCGGTGTAAGGTACGAGTGTTTGAAAAACTTTTTCTACCCTTTTCTATCTTTGGTAATTGTTTTTAGTATTTATATTGGGTTTTTAAGGGAATATTGGCGAGGAAGGTGGTTAGTTTGGGTGAGTTTGACTCCCAGTCGGTGTACTGGGAGAATGGCAGCTCCCGGTGCGGAAAGTTTGGAGTTTCTAACGAGGCGTCACGGTGTGAAAATCGATGTTACTGCAAGTATAGAGGAGTGTAGTTTAGCGGTGAGTGCAGTAGTTGGTCATGAGAATGTGTTATCGGCGTCGCGAATGAACAACGCGATTGTTTTGTTTGTTAAGACGATCGAATTAGCGAACTTGTTGGTGGAGAGTGGTGTAGAGATTGGTGGTATTTTTACCTCAGTGCTACCTCTTTCTACGCCCTCTAAGAGAGTAACTTTATCTAACGTGCCACCATTCATCAAGAACGAAGTTCTAGTTGGAATGCTCTCGAGGTATGGGAAACTGGTCTCTCCCATTAAGATGATTTTAATTGGAAGTAAGTCATCGTTGTTGAAACATGTGGTGTCTTTCAGGCGTTATGTTTATATGGTACTGAAAGATAACGTTGAGGAACTTGATCTGACTCTAAATTTCCGACATGAAGAATTTAATTATGTGATATATGCTACAACTAATACAATGAGGTGCTTTGGTTGCGGTGAAAATGGTCACCTTATTCGTGGTTGTCCAAAAAGAGAGGAAAACGTAAATAAAACTGCATCAACTGTTGCTTCAGAAAGTGCAATTGAAGTGCAAGAGGAAATCGCTACAGTTGTTGAGGAGATACCGGGTCCAAGTAGGGCGTCGGTTGCCCAAAAAATGGTAGAGAAGGTTTCTGAGAGTGTGGAAAATTCAGAAATTGTTGAAAAAGTCAGTGTAGCTGCAGCTGGGGAGGAAGAGGTTATACGTTCCCAGAGGATAGAACAAGCAGTTCGTGAGTCAGATGATGGCAGTAACAGTGAAGATGAGGCTATGGTAAATCCAGAAGATGGTGATTCCGTGTTGGGAGATGAAGAATGTTGTTTTAAAATCCCCCAAAAAAGGAAGTTGTTGGATGGCCCTGCTGATAAAAAAGCAAAAAGAATAGATGGCATTCACATGAGCCAGACTGACACTGAGAGCGAAAGTGACATTTCAGAATGTAGTGTCACTGCTAGTCTGCCCCAAAGTGGTTTCTCTAGTCGAACATACACTGTTGTGGATATTAAGTCATTTTTGAAAGTGACGAAAAATGTGAAAAAAGTAAAACTAGAGGAGTATTTTCCTGACATAATACAGTTCATTGAGAAGGTAAAGATTTTTAGAAGTGAAAGTTGTTTCACTAATCAAGAGGTTTACCGTCTTAAGAAAATTATTACGAAATTAAGTAGTCAGTCAGGCGAGCCCAGTGAAAACAGCCAGAATGGGTAAATTTATGCATCTTTTATGGCTTTATTTCTTTTGCTCTCTTTCTTTATCCTTTATGGGGGAAATACATTTTGCTTCCTTGAATGTTAACGGAGCAAGAGATTTTAAGAAGAGAGCTCAAGTTTTTGAATTAATGAAATATAAGAAAATTGATGTGTTGTTTGTAGAGACACATACTGATGTATCAAACGCTGTAGAATGGGTAAAAGAATTTGATGGATTAGTGATTTTAAGCCATCATACCTCTTTGAGTGGTGGAGTTGCAGTGCTATTTTCTAAAGATTTTACTCCATATTCCTATAGTGTGGAGGAAAAAATTAAAGGAAGGTTGCTGAGGATTAAAGCTGTATTTGAAAATAGTTCTTTTGTTTTTGTCTGTGTATACGCTCCAACATTGGCATTGGAAAGAATGGTATTTTTGAACACTCTGGATGATGTTTTAAATGAGTGTAACAATGATGATTTTTTAATGTTAGGAGGGGATTTTAATTGTACTGAAAATGTTATAGATCGAAATCATGTTGAACCACACATGCAATCCAGAAAGAGGCTAATTCAAATGAAAAAGTCTCATAGCATAATTGATATATGGAGGAATTTCCATGGTATACAGAGACAGTATTGGGCTCACGCTCATGATAATCAGTTATCGCTGGCAAGGCTTGATCGATTCTATGGTTTTAAGCATCAATTAAGCATGTTTAGAGAATGTTTAATAATTCCGGTTTGTTTTTCCGATCACAGTTTGATAAAATGTGTTGTAACAAAAAGTTTTGTCAAATCAAAAAGTGCTTATTGGCATTTCAACAATAATTTATTATCTGACACTTTTTTTAGAGAAGTTTTTAAAGAGTTCTGGACAAATGCTAAAGCTATGAAATCGTCCTTCTTAACATTGCAGCAGTGGTGGGATTTTGTAAAAATACAAATCAAACAATTGTGTCAACAATATACTCACAACGCCACAAGAGAAAAATAGCTCAATGAGTATGTTAGAAGAAGAGTTGATGAAGCTACAAGAGCTTGCAGAGTCCACAAAAGATGCCACCTATATAGAGCACATAAAAAAGAAAAAGAATTTGTTATCTGACATCCTAGGTTGTACAACACAAGGTGCTATCACTAGATCCCGCTTTCAAAGTGCAGAATTAATGGATGCTCCTTCAAAATTCTTTTTCAGTCTAGAAAAAAAGAATGGTCAGAAAAAGTTCATTCATGCCTTGCAGTCGGAAGAAGGGATTTTGTTGACAAATCCCTCGGATATTAGGAAGAGAGCTGTACATTTTTATAAAGAGTTGTACAAAAGTGAAATTTCCGAAGAGCAAGATGGTAATTTGAATTTTTTTGAAAATTTACCTCAAATAACTAAAAATGCAAATGAGGAAATTAGTAAAACTTTGAGTTTAGTTGAGCTCGAAAATGCCCTTAAAAAAATGGGAAATGGAAAAGCACCAGGTATTGATGGCATTACAACTGAATTTTATAAATCGTTTTGGGTAGAAATGGGTCCAGAATTAGTAACAGTTTTTAATGAGAGTCTGGCAAATGGACAACTGCCAAGAAGCTGCCGTAGAGCAATTATTACTTTATTGCCTAAAAAAGGCGATTTAAACGACATCAAAAATTGGAGACCAGTAAGTTTATTATGTAACGACTACAAAATATTGTCTAAAGCTTTGGCAATCAGATTGGGGGAAGTCATTGAATCGATTGTTCATCCAGATCAGTCATATTGCGTACCAGGAAGGAGAATCTTTGATAATGTTTCTTTTATCAGAGATATTTTTGACTGTGGAAAGATCTTTGACGTAGATTTTGGTATGATATCAATCGATCAAGAGAAGGCTTTCGACAGAGTCGAGCATATTTATTTATGGAGTGTTTTAAAAGCCTTTGGTTTTAGTTCAGAGTTTATTGAAATGATTAAAATGATGTATTGTGGCGTTGAGAGTATATTAAAGATTAATGGTGACTTATGCTCTCCGTTCAGTGTGTACAGGGGTGTTAGACAAGGCTGTGCGCTGTCAGGTATGTTATACACCTTAGCCATAGAACCCCTGTTAAACAAACTAAGATCTGATGTGTGTGGACTGTGTATGCCAAATTGTACTACTGTTTTTAAGTTATCAGCATACGCTGATGATGTCATTGTCATAATCGGTGAACCCAATGATATCAATGTGATGTTGAAGATTTTAGATGATTTCAAAACTCTTTCTTCAGCAAAGGTTAACTGGAAAAAAAGTGAAGCCATATTGGTTGGAAAATGGCCAAAAGGTGAACCAAGAGTTCCTGATGGACTAAACTGGACAAGAGATGGTTTTAAGTATTTGGGAGTCTTTGTAGGAAATGAAAATGTTGTAAAAAAGAATTTTGAAGGCACTGTTGAAAAGGTCAAAGGGCGACTGGATAAGTGGAGGTTTTTACTCCCTAAAATTTCCTATAAAGGTAGAATTTTGATTATAAACAATCTGGTTGCCTCTGCACTTTTGCACCGCCTAGCCTGTATAGATCCCCCAGTAGATGTACTGATGAAAATCCAGGCAATGTTAATCGATTTCTTCTGGGACAGAATGCACTGGGTATCAAAAAGTGTGTTGTATCAATCAAAAGACGAAGGAGGACTTGGTTTGATACACTTGCAGAGCCGAACGGCTGCATTTCGTCTGCAATACGTACAGAGACTTTTAAAGTGCTCCTCGGAGTCCAGTTGGATGGCGGCTGCCTGTGCGATCCTCCGGAATATCGAAGGGCTAGGATTGGACAAAACTTTATTCTGGTTGGACTCTCAAAGATTGAAACTATCTAATTCTCCAGTTTTTTATCGTAACTTATTAAAAGTCTGGTCTCTGTTTAAGAAAAGCAGGGAAAGCAATGCTGCTTCTCTGTTTTGGTTACTTCGAGAACCATTGGTCGGTGGCTCACGTTTGGACTTATCACGTGAGTTTTCTTTTTCCATACCAGAAAGGACTTTGTGTAACGCCAAGTTGACAGAAATTGATCATCTACATCAAATAGCGGGACCAGCTTTTAGGAATGTGACCGCGATTGCTGAGCATTTAGGACTCAAATCATGCCGTATAGTAGCAAAAGCACTTGAAAAGTGGAGATCGGCCCTTACTGAGGAAGAGACAGAACTGCTGGATCATTACTCACACGGGTTAATAAACCCTGACTGTAAAGACCCTTTTCCCAAGTTGGGTATTTCTCCCATTTTGGGAGAACACAGCAGCATGCTTTTAGATTGTAAAGAAATAATGATTGTGGGTTCAAATGTTGTACTTGGAAAAGAATTGTACAAGGTTTGTGTAAAAGCTTTTAATAAGAAATCTTTAGATAACAAGTGTGATACACCATGGCGAAATATACTTAATCTTGCTGTCGATGAAAAGCCAGAATGGAGAGCCTTGTATAAGTCACCATTGGTCAAAAAAACTGGGGATTTACAGTGGAGAGTGTTACATGGTGCCATTGCAGTAAATGCTTTCGTCTCCTTGATCAATTCTGAAGTGACTGAAGGCTGCCCTTTTTGTTTGGAGAAAGAGACTATTTTTCATGATTTTATGCACTGTGTGAGGTTAAAACCTTTATTTGAGATATTGAGAGAATTTTTTGGTTCTTTTGATGAGGTTTTTTCAATGAAAGTGTTTATTTGTGGATTTAAATATGTGAAGAAATTTCGTCATAGATGTCAATTGTTGAATTTCTTGTTAGGTCAGGCAAAAATGGCGATTTATACCACAAGAAAAGAAAAAATTGAGCAAAATGTTTGCAACAGTTTGGTAGCAATTTTTGTAAAATTAGTCAAATCTAGGATTTTGATTGATTATCATTATTATCGATTAATGCATGATTTTTTATCGTTTGAGGTAAGATGGGCTGCGTCCGAAATCGCGTACTTCCATACTATATAGTATGCGAAAAACAGTACGCAAGCAGAGTAGTATGTCCGAAATCATAGAATTCGAAAAACAGTATGCGAAAAGTACCCGGATGACCTACTACTTCCGGCGAGATTCTGAAGTGCGCATACGATGGACACTTTGCTATCCCATGATGCCACGGGAGAGGAGTTGTCGCCATTATATTTGAAAATGCCGGAAACCGGAGACGCGGGAGTTTTCAAGTGTAAGTACTATATAAAACACTTTTTGTTTATTTGTGGTTAAATTGTGTTTGTTTAACATCATATAAGTAAACGATTGACGTGTTAAACGTTTAAATAATGTAAATCGCGGGTACAATTTTCTGAATTGGCTGTAAAATGACACTTTTTATCATTATCATTATTACCGAACAGAACGAGCTAATCAATGCCTGTCAGCTAACGTTAGCTAAATCACAAAGACGTTCGTTGTTTCGCAGTTTAATGAGATAGTTACACAACTTTTATTTTTTTTATTTTAAAACGATTTTATTTCTCCTTTACCAGTGTTGTTATTATGAAATATGTGTTGGCTACATAGCAAACTACTGTTAACAAGTGTAACTTACCTCAACTTGTCAATGTAACATTAATAGATTGACCATAGTTCATCACATGTTAAATCCTGTGTTGATTTTGCAGGGGCAAAATGGTAGATTAAGAATATGTAGATTCAATGGTAAGTTATTTGTAACTTAGATGTAAACATTTCGACTCAAGCTCTTACTGCATTTCTTTTATGCTTGATTTCTGTGCATTTATTGCAGAGTTTTTATCACAGAGCAGAGCCTAGAGGGCAAAACCTTAAACAAAAATATAAAGTAAGTTATTTTGGTAACACTTTACTTGAAGGGGTGTGCATAAGACTGACATGACACCTTTATAATCATGACATGACACATGTCATTAATATTAAGGTGGTTTTATGCATGTTTATGACAACTGTCACTAAGTGTCATTCGCTCAATTTTGACATTTTTAATGCAAATATGACAGTTTGAGATGTCTTTGTCATGACAACTTGACATAAACCAATAGGCCTACATCATAACCTGTCAGTGTCAAGTTTGTCTCAAAAAATGTCATATTTGCATTAAAAATTTAATAATTGAGCAAATGACACTTAATGAGTTGTCATAAACAAACATGTGTCATGTCATTATTATGAAGGTGTCATGTCAGTCTTATGCACACCCCTTCAAGTAAAGTGTTACCGTTATTTTTTATTCTTTTTATAGTTCACCCCAAAATAAGAATTCTGTCATGGTTGAATCATGCTCATGTTTGGCCCTGTAATGCAATCTTTTAACGAATTATATGTTTTACAAGCAAATTCCAGGTATATCTGAAAAATATATTGTCTGACTATGAATGCCGCACTGTAGAGAAATACCCACACACTTCAGACACCTTTAAAATGTATTTGCTTTATTTTTGTGTATTAACTTTTAAATGGATACAGAATACAAAGCTTAAAACAAAATCACATAACTTAGGCATAAAGTAGTATAATAGAGCTTAAAGCACCACCAAAAGGAAAAGTATTAAAACATTTTTATTATGGTGGTGTCATGAGGAAAGACAATTAACTTTAGCAGCTTCAGTAAGGTAACTTTCACAGGTTTCTAAAAAGATCTAAAGGGACTTTGATAATAGCAATCTCATTTGTAGGGCATCACTTTAAAATGATTCAATATGGTTTTTTTTCAACGCATGTGTACAAGACGAGGCAAGGATACCCACCATCTCCAAGGATGCACTTTCCTGCAGGAGGAAACAGCCGGCCAGTGTACACAGGGCTGTTCTTCAGCACCCTGGCATCGTGCACCGACCCAGGATACCCAACAAAAATGTCGAGGAACTTCCCCTGGTGGTCAGTGATGGCCTGCAGCTGGAAAGAATTAAACAGCTTTCCGGTTGAAGTAGCACTGGACGTCACTTGCTAGTGGTTTGATGCGGATGTGATACACCAGCTACTACACTGAAAGCTGGAGACCCTGCCAGCTGGGTAAAACCTGCTCCCACTGCCTCCAGGTCATCTACGCTGGGGAAAGCGATAACTTGTCTCAAAATGCTGATGACTGCCTTGCTCATTCTGTGCACAATGTCGTGCACAGTAGACTTCGGGATGTCAAAGGCGAGTGGCACGACCCGGTACGATGCTGCATGGGCCAGCCAGTAAAGGAACACCAGCACCTCAACGTCCTTTTCCCACCCATGGTCGCAATCTGGTTTCACTGCAGCAATCAGGGACTGGATGGACTGCCGTGAAAGTCGGAGGCTGCTGTGCCAATTCTTTGGCTGTATTTTGAAGATGGAGCTGACCTACGCCCCGGTCCCGGTCAGCTCCATCTTCAAAATACAGCCAAAGAATTGGCACAGCAGCATTCAGGTGGCAGTAGGTTGTAGGGCTCACAATCTGTAAACATTTATATAGTTTTAATATAAAATACAATTTGAATCAACAAGACACTTGTTTCCTGTGTTGGCTTATTTATAAATATAATATGTATGTATTTATATGTATATGATCCATTTCTTATGCATGATGTATTTGAATATATGTCTGTGTGTATATATATATCATAATATACAAGCTTGATAAAAACTATAATTCTAGAAGAAATTTTAAGATGTCACTTTACATCTGAAGTCAAATGTGTATATATATATATATATATATATAACATTATATATTTGACTTCAGATGTAGTAGTTTAAATGAATTATAATTTTTAACAAGCTTGTATATTTGTGTTCAGTAATTTCACTGTATGGCAATGAAAAGAACCTATTACCATAAAATCTAAGGGTGTATTCACACCAGGAAAGTCCGATAGTTCACTTTCTTTGGTCCGGACCAAATAATTTTTTTTTTTTTTTTTTTTGGTACGGTTCGCTTTCACACTGCTCTTTTTGCAAGTGAACCAAAATTTGTCAACAAAACCACACGTGTGCTAAGGTCGTCCATTCATTGGACAAGGATTCTCAAGTAGGGAAATCAGGAAGTGCAAAAAAGGTTCAGCATGGAGATATTTCGTACTGCAATATTTGTTCTTTTACTAATTTTGTGTTATTCTGTACAAACGTGTAACCCTGTATAATTTTGCTAATGAATTATAAAAAGGAATTAATTAGAGAATTGTTAAAATAATAAACTAATCAGAATTAGTAAAAAAGTGTAAGAAAAATATAAAATCAAAAAGAAATGCATGTCAGTGTGATGATTGACATTTTATTGATTTGTCCAATTACGTGAGGTTTATGTTGAAGTCCCGCCCCACCACGTTAGTGCTGTATGGGCGAATCCATTTTCTTTTCTCTGCGTGACTGTGAGACGAGCAGCAGCATAACTTTGTGTACAAGTTAAAATCGTCAGAGAGGACTGAATAGGAGACATTTATATGATCTAATTTCTTTGGATTTGGTGAGTACACATTTTGAAATGTGTAAACTTTCATAAATGTGATTAATTGTGTATTGATGTGTTAAATTGAGAGAGAGAGTGAAAACGTATTTTTTTCGTCAGTATGAAATGCTGATAAGATCTGATGTTTAACGAGCAAAAAGTGATGTAATGTTTAAAATATGTGTATATGAGTTTGTGATGTTCATGTTCGTTATTGAACGAGTGATTTTATGATGTTTAAGTTGCATAATGTTATCTAAGCTGTCGAATTTCGATGGACATGTAGCTGTTATATGCTGAACAGGATAACGAGTGTTACTATTTAATCTAATTTACTGCTGTTAAACTAAAAGCTGTGAATTTAATGTGCTGTGAACTAATTGCTGCCTGTTGCACATGCAGGTCAGGTTTTTTGTGCTACGCTGGAACTGCGTTCTTTTCAGCATTACGACCTAAGATGGCGAGCCTTCCCAGCGAGATGAACGTTAATGCTTGATGCGAGATTTGAGTTAATCCAACACCCGTGGAATTGGGTAGGAATGTTCTGATTGCCTGCTAGTTTTTCCTAAACGGGACTGAGTTTTATTTTTGAAAGACTGCTCAGAGTATTTTGTTTCTCTGTGCAAAAAGATCTTCTCTGGAACTGTTGAATCACTTTTCCGCGATTCTAACGAACTGTGGATTTTCTGAACTGAGTCTTTTGAATCAGATCTTTTGAATCGGATCTTTTGAATCGGATCCTCTAACGAATTTGAAGTGAACTTTTCCAACTCAACCTTTTGAACTGAACAGTTCAAATGAGTCTTTTGAACTGACCTATGTGAATTGTTTTCTTCTGAACTGTTGTTTTTGCATTTTGTACATTTTATTTTATGTTTGAACTTGATTTAGTGAACTGTCAAACTTTTCAATTGTGAACATTTATCAATGTTTATGGGGTTCTATTTTATATTGAAAGTGTAGTATTCTAGGAATCTTTATAGCCTAGAGGGTGAACCCAAACTGATTGAACAAACAAAAGAGTCAAGTGAAATTGTTCACTTATTGTGAATTGAAGTGAATCACTATAACTGTGGTTTTACATTGAACAAAAAGAACTGACAATTTGTTTTGTTTTGTTTTTCTTTCTTTTGAATATCAACAATTACTCCAGTCATTCATTTAAATATAAAGATTTACTTTATTATTTAACCAGTTTTGTCTTTATTACACCTCCATAGTCGAACCTACTGGCCTATGGTTGAAACTAGTAACAAGTGCAATATTATTTGACACGTGTGCTACATAAAAAGTGGCGAGCCAGCCAGGAGGTGTAATTAATAGCTTTATTTATACTTTACATCCAAAAAGAAAAATCGACAAAAGAGACATTCAAATCAGTTTATTAGTGTGGCAAGTAAATTGACTTTGAAAACATGGAAATAGTACAGAAGGAAAGTGTCAAAATTTTAAATGCTCTTCTAGTTAGTGGGACAATTAACACTCTTGAGGATGAAGAGGTCCTTGATCTTCTAAAACGTCATGGTACCATCGCAAGAGTCCTTCCCATTAACGATCCTGAGTCCAAGTATCATGACCACACCATTGTAGAGTACAACTTTGGATCAGCTATTGAATCAATAAGTCACTTGCTACCTCTTAACTACACAGATAAAGACGACCCAAGCTTAACTTACCAGATAAGAGCCCTGAGCAGTGTCTACTCTTGTGAGGAGAGTTTTGGTGCCACAACCTCTTACTTATCCACCCTGAAAACCATTGCTAAGCAAAGTGGAAAATCCTTCAATGCTTTGCTACGAGAGGAACTCTCGCAGATCTCAAGCTCCTTAATTCCAGATGAGGTGGATGCAGATGAGCCTGCGCTTGATGAGCTCAATTCCATTAAAGAGCAGAATGCATCCAAGAGGAATGTCCAGAGTCCTTGTTCCATTCACAATGAGCCAACTTTTGATCAAGATGACTTACCAAGGTCTGAAAAACAGCTGTCAGGCACCATGAGTCACGTTCAGCTCAATCCTGCCGAGGTGCAGAAAGTTATTGTGGAGCATATAGTAAAGAGTGAAGTCGCTGCAGCAATTCCATCCACTGCTGTAGTTAGGCTCCGTCCTTTTTCAGGGAGAATTCCCCAGCCCAATCATGAATCTGATTACGACACTTGGCGTTGTAATGTTGAATTACTCTTTGATGACCCTTCTGTGTCTGACTTACAAAGGGTAAGGAGAATTATGGAGAGTCTCTTACCTCCTGCCACTGATATTGTCAAGTCTTTAGGGCCCCGTGTTTCTCCCAGAGCTTACCTTAATGTGCTTGATGCAGCTTATGGTGCGATCGATGATGGTGATGAGTTGTTCTCAAAATTCATGAACACATTTCAGAATGATGGAGAGAAAGCATCTAGCTATCTCCAAAGGCTTCAAGTTGCTTTGAGCAAGGCAGTCAGAGGAGGTGGGATTAAATCGTCTGAGGCCAACCATCATCTCCTACGGCAGTTTTGCAGAGGCTGCTGGGATGACATCCTTATTTCTGAGCTTCGTCTCGAAACTCGTAGAGATGACCCTATCGATTTCCAAGACTTACTGCGTTCCCTTAGAACCAGAGAAGACAAGAGTGCACAGAAATGGTTGCGCATGAGAACCCACATCAGTGCTTCTAAGCAGAAACCGCAGCCATCCCCTAGATCTGCTCATGCTTATAGCCAAGATGCTGCCATTTCAAACAAACTTCCTCATGAGTCAAAGTTGTTGTCTGAGACCGCTGAATTGAAGAAGCAAATTGCTGAGCTAAAGGAGCAGTTAACTTCACTGACCCTCCCGAAGTCCAGAAAGACTGTCAAACCCAAGCATAAGACTTCACCCTCTCCTAGCACTCCTGAGTTTATTGCTAAACAACCGTCTAAGTCAACCGGTGGTCCTGTCACGAAATCCAGACCACGCCCTGGTTACTGTTTCAGATGTGGTGAAGATGGCCACATCTCTGTTACCTGCGAAAATTCTCCGAACCCCAGGCTAGTTGAAAAGAAAAGGAACGAACTGCGGTTGAAGCAACAAGAGTGGGATCAAGAGAACAGTCACGTTGGTGCAGCTTCTTTAAACGCCTAACAGTTCCAGTTGCGGGACAAACTGGAGCTAGTGAACTTAAAAGTTGTCCCCCCAGAATAAATTCAGGCCCACACCACAAATTTCGTATTCAGCGTCTGGTCGGATCCAAGTGTACAGCGCAAGTGAAAATCTCAGGAACTGAATGTCATTGCTTACTTGACACAGGGTCGCAGGTGACCACAGTTCCTTGGTCCGTTTACCAAGCTTGCTTGATTAATCATCCCATCAAGCCCCTGAATCTTCTGCTTGAGGTCAGTGGAGCAAATGGTCAGCCAGTTCCATACAAAGGATATGTCGAAATTCCAATAACTTTTCCAGAGGACATGGTCGGATCTGAGGTTGAAATTTCCACACTGGCACTAGTCGTTCCTGACTTCAAACCAGAAAAACAATCTCAAGTCTTAATCGGGATGAATACGCTTGATTCTTTGTATGCTGAATGTTCTAACTTGAATATCCTTGAACACCATTCTCCACGATACGGGTACAGTGCTGTGCTCAAAACTCTGCAATTACGGCATAAACAGAATGCCAATGGATGCCTTGGATTGGTGAGACTACAAAGCAAGGAGCCCGTAGTGATTCCGGCACAGCAGACCGTTGCTCTCTGTGGAAAAACAAATGTGAATTGCTTATCCACTAAAGAATGTGTTCTTCTGGAGCCCCCATCAAACTCCTTCCTCCCTGGAGGTATTCTTTTTTCAAGAGGTGT